TGGCAACACAAAGGACTTGGAGGATGTTCTCTTAGCAAGCCACAGTCTACCGAACTCTTCTCTCAGTGCCCGCATTTTTCCAGACATGCCATGGAAGGAAAGACAAAAGCAAAAATCCGACCCAACCGCGTCTCGTCAAAATGTAATGAAGAAAGTGGTGTTGGTTCATGGTGTGCCCGAACTGAAACATGGCGACATCAGTGAAAGACAAAAACACGATATTGATGAGTGGCGCTACATCACAGAACTCTATGGCATGCAGAATGTTGTGGCATTCGACGTCAGCCGCTTGGCTTCCTCCCCAAACTATCAAGGGAGCGAGCCGAAAATTTTGAAAGTTACCTTGGCTACGCCGGAGATGGCATCAATGGCAATTAACGTGTGGTACCACAGCAGAAGGCTAGGACCACCAGAAGTACGACTGAGACCAATCCTGCAAGCAGTACAGACCACTGGTACAGTTGAGTCAGACCTGGCTTTTCCGACCATAGACCAGCCAAGCGTGCAAACACTCGTGTCAAAAAACGTGGGCAGACCGGCACTGTTTGTGCCGGTCAAACACAGCGAACCCACCTCCTAATGCGGCAACAAATGCAATGCTGCTACACAAACGCCCAAGGGCTTTACTCCAAGTTGCCGGAATTGCGCCATCGGCATGAAGCAGCAACTTGGGACATCATAGCATTAACTGAAACCTGGCTCTCAAACGAGATTTTGGATCCAGAAATTGAACTTAGTGAAATGTCAGTCATTCGAAATGATCGTCCATCTCGCGGTGGTGGCGTTGCTATCTACTACCGAGATCACCTGAAATGTGAAGCTCTCACTGAGCATTCTCTTATTATCCCCGACGCCTTATTTTGCGGGCTGCAGCTATCCGGTCCCGATAGTTGTCCTCAGAAGAAGACACATGATGCTTGCCTCATAGCAGTTGTCTACAGGCCGCCGAACTCCTCCGCCGACAGCGATGATATTCTGTTAAATGCTCTCCAATATGCTATGTAGAAAAAGTACTCACACTACCTAATAATGGGTGACTTCAATGTACCGTCAATAGCATCTGTGTTCTCAAGTGGGTCATGCTTCAAATCAAAACTCCTTGAGTTCTTGACTATGGCAGTTTTGTATAACCATGTGGATCAACCAACCAGACACCGCGGTTCAAACAAGCCTTCAATACTTGATTTAATCCTGACTAATGAGGAGTTAATGGTTGAGTCGGTTTCATACAACCCCCCGCTAGGTTGTAGCGATCATTCAGTTCTAACGTTTGATTATGTGTGTTATGCCAGTATGGTTGATAAAGAACCAGAAACCCGACGATTTATCACCAACTATTCCAAGCTTCACACTATAGCGACAACCGTTGACTGGGACCTCCAGATGCACACTTCGGCGAATGATGCCTGGCAAGTGTTGAAAGGCAAGATAAACTGGGTCCTACAATCAGCTTCAAAAGACGTACCATTACGAGTTTCGCGACGGAGCAACAACTGGATCCGGAGCAGAACACGTAAGTGGTTGAATAGGCGAGACGAGGCTTGGAGGGGTCTTTTGCTAGGTCCAAGTGATATCACGTGGAACCATTACAAAACAGTTAGAAACTACTGCACTTCACTCCTTAAAGCTGACTAGTACGAATGGCAGGAAACTATGGTACGCAAATTTACTAGCAATCACAAACTGCTCTACCGGTATGTGAATGACAGAAGGAAGGTTAAGACGGGAATACAACCACTAGAGACGGTCAATGGCCTAACGGTTACTGAAGAGGAGACCGCGGACGCATTGCTCATGCAGAATGTCTCAGTGACTAGACACACCATGGAACCATCGCCTTGCTACATCCCAGCAAATGTCGTCGGCTTATCCACGGTCAACTTTAGCCCTACATCTGTGGCAAAGAAATTACAGTCGCTCAGGGAAAATAGTGCGCCGGGAATTGACAAGATCTGTCCGAAAGTACTTAAAACCCTTGCACCCACCATGGCAGTCCACCTTGCAACCTTTTTCCAGTTTCTATTTGATTCTCATACACTTCCGTCTGAGTGGAAACGTGGACTTATCACTCCGATATACAAGGGAGGTAAGCGGTCAGACCCTGCCAACTACCGACCTATTACTCTCCTTCCTGTTCTATCAATAGTGATGGAGTCTATAATCGCTGATGAAATGGTGAGAAATTTGGAAGTCTACAACTCATCTCCAACCTCCAACATGGATTCAGACGCCGACGATCTTGCCTCACCAATCTACTACTTGCTCGGGACTCATGGACCAGGGCTGCTGACGAGGGAGTTCCCGTAGATGTGATTTACTTAGACTTTTCTAAGGCATTCGACAGAGTCAATCACCCAGCACTTCTCCGAAAGCTTGCGGCCTATGGTATCCACGGATCCTTGCTCACATGGTTGGAAAGTTACTTATACGACAGAAGAATCGAGGTAAGGATCGCCAACACCCACTCCGATAGCCTATGCGTCACTAGCGGCGTACCGCAAGGATCAGTTCTCTGCCCGTTACTCTTCTAAGTCTATATCAACGACCTCCCTGCCAACATTCAATCACCTATGCAAATATTCGCCGACGATGCTAAGATGTGGCGAGCTATTCAGTCAACATTTGACCTTGTCTATCTGCAGGATGACCTGAACCGGATTCACGAATGGGCAGTAAACAACCAACTACCCCTGAACCCCGAAAAGTGTCACCTGTTGTCGCTGCGCAGTAACTGCAGCAACACATATTACCTGGGGCAGCGCGTTATAAAACAGTTGAGCAACGAAAGAGACTTAGGGGTCATCGTGCAAGAAGGTCTGGGTAATTTGCTTCAATGTTCAAAGGCAGCTAACATAGCGAACTTAAACTTGAGGCTTTTGAGGCGAGCGCTCGGTACCTTCGAGCGGCAACTCGTGCCATTATTGATTAACGCCTACATTCGTCCCCACCTCGAGTATGCGGTGCAGGCATGGCGTCCGTGGTTAAAACGGGACATTCGTCTCCTGGAGCAACCACAAAGAAGAGCCACTAAGGCAACACGTGGTCTATCGAGCCTTAGTTATGAACTGCGCCTTCGTTCGATCGGTCTGTACTCCTTAGAATACCGACGACTTCGCGGTGATCTGATCCTCACTTACCGGATACTAAGAGAAGAGGACTGTTGTATACGTAAGGTCAAAACGCACGAGCAAGTTAAAAG